CCTGAAGTTAGTTTTTGTATATGGTGTGAGGTATGGATCTTGTTTCATTTTTCTGCAAATGGATATCCAGTTTTGCCAACACCACTTGTTAAAGAGACTATTTCTTCACCATTTAATGGGTGTTGGCCCTTTGTCAAAGATCAGCTGACCATAGGTAGATGAATCTATTTCTGGGTTCTCAATTATCTTCCAGGGGTCTACGTCTCTGTTGTTGTACCATTACCAGGCTGTTTTGACTACTGTGGTTTTGAGATCTAGGACTGTGAGACCTACTTTATTATTCTTCTTCAGCAGTGCTTTGCTTATCCAAGGTCTCTTTTCTTTTCCATATAAAATTAGTAATTGGTTCTTCCACAGCTTGAAGGAGAAGTAGATGGAATCTGGGTCAGGACTGCATTGAATGCATCGATTGCTTTGCGTAGTATTGACATTTCACAAGGTTCAATCTTCCTATCATAAGCATGGTATGTTCTTCCATTTATGAGATCTCTTACAGTTTCTTGAAGTACTGTTTTGTAGTTTTCTTTATATAGGTCTTCTGTGCCATTTTGTTTTTATCTTTTTTCTGATTGACCCCTTAACAAAGTAGTATTGAGTTATTTATCTTCAATCTCATTAATTCTGTCTTCTAGTGAGTCAATTCCACTCCTCTGCCCATTCAATATGGTATCTATTTCTGAAATGTTAGTATTAATGTTCTGGATTTCTATTTGTTGTTTTTGTATCATTTCTAATTCATTTATTTTGTCAGTTTGTTCTTGTATTGTTTTGATTTGCATTTCTCTTGTGTTTTTGGATTTGTTTTCTATTTCTATTTTGTTCTAATTTTAAATTGTTCTAGAGTTCTAGAGTCTGTGTTTTCCTTAATTTTATCAGTGTTTTCTTTGTTCTCTCAACCCACTGAAGGTACTTAATAAATATAATTCTTTTGAATTCCTTATCACAGAGTTCCAATGCTGCTGCTTCTTCAGGGATGATTTCTGGGTCTCTATCCTGGCCCCTTCTTTGTACTTCTTTATCTTGCTTTTCTGTGGGAACTGGGATGGTCAGTTGTGTCCAAGACATTGCAATGTCGTTGTCTTTATAGTGAATTGGTGGTTGTATATTGGTGTGATTAGCCCAAGATTTTTTTTCTTCTTTATTTTGTTTTGATATACCTCTGTGAGCAGAGTACTGTGCACCTCTATTCACTAGTTACTAGCACTTAGGCATTCACTGCCTGTCTCCTGGTGGGTGTGACAGAGAATGACAGTGTGTGCACAAATCTCTGTTAGCTGGTTGTGAAGAGCATTTGATGGTGAGTTGGGCTGGTATAGGCTACCACCTACCATTGGTCAGCTGGTGTAGAAGCAAGTGGTGGCCCTCACTCAGTGGGTGGGACTGCAGAAGGTGCGGGTATGGTAGGGTCATGTGGGAACAGTTGCTGTCTCCCACTCAATTAGACAAAAAAATTTTAAACTATCAAAAAAATAAAAACAAGAGACCAAAAAACACAAACCACATAAACAAGAATAATCACAGAAAAAAGGAAAAGCAATTAAATGAGAAGAAAAATTATAAATATATATGAGACAGAAGAAAGATAAAGAGAAAAAAATAAAGCCCACAGTATCGGGGGCCAATGAGAGAAAAGAGCAAGAGTAAAAGAATGATAAAGAAAAAAATAAGAAAACTGCAAAAAGGAAAACAAGGGATGGGAAGAACCAAAAGGAAAAAGGAAAGAAAAATGAAGGGAACCAGGAAATGGGGGGGGGGCAAGAACAAGAACCAGGGAAGACAAAGAGAAGGAAAAATAAAAAGGAAGAAAGGACAATAAAAAAAGAGAACCATTTAAAAACAAAATTAGATGAGACATACAGCAATGGAGACAAGATGTCAAGGATGATATCCCGTGTTTTGGCTTAGGCAAGTGTATGAAAAGGAACACTGGAAAAGGATCACATTTTATATCACTTGGTTACCAGGGATGGGAGGGGAAGGAAAGGAAAATTACTAGATAGGTAAGAGACAAGTTTTGATTTAGGTGAAGGGAAAGGAAATATACCAAAAGTGAGTAACCAGCACAATAACACTAAGGAAAAGGAAGACAAGGGGAGGTACACAAGAGGTCCAGACAACAAAGGTAAATACTTGTACATGCAGAATACTGCACCATCAGTAATAACAAATATTAATCTGTGGATGGACAGGTAGACAAGCAAGATGGTGGGTATGGGTTGGTGAATGGGAATATACCCATGACCACATACAGGTTTGGCATATGATATTTCTATACACATATTTGTATATTTTATATATATATATATACACACACACATACATTAGAGTGAACAGGAAGCAAAGTTATGATAACTTCATAGCCACAGCCAAACACCTTGAGGGAGTAAGTCATTGGGCCCATGGGCTCAGGACCATGGTTGCTGGAGACAGGACCATAGTTGCTGGGGACATCAAGCTCAATTGCCATAACATACGACACAAAAACACTATTTTACATCCTACTTCAGTAAGTAGCAACTGGAGACTTAAAAGCTTGCAAGAGGCCATTTAAGATGCAACAATTTGTCTCTCCTAGTCTGGAACAAAGCAGTGAAGAAAATCAAAGACTCGAGAAAATAATTAGCCCAAAGGACTAAAGGACCACATGAACCCCAGCTATCATGACTCTGAGACCAGAAGAACTAGATGGTGCCTAGCTACCACTGCCAACCACTTGGAAATGGGTCAAAACTGGAGATCCTGAATAGAGTAGAAGAAAAATGTGCAACAAAACTCAAAATCATTTAAAAAAAAAAAAAAAAAGTCTGATAGAGACGGATCAAACCCCTGAGACTATGGCCCCTAGTCACCCTCTAGGCCTGGAATTCAAACTCATTCTCATGGCTTCCAGACAAACAACAGACAGGCCTACAAGTTAAACTATTATACCAGGTAGTTACACTCCTTAGAACAACCAACCATGAGAGATCAGAAAGGCAGCATTTACACCATGGAGACAGCTCTGAGGGCAAGAATGCATAGAAAAGAAGGACATAGGGAAAAGGTAACCACAGGCAGGAGGTGAGAAAAGAGCTGTTGTTACATTGTGGAGACCGCAATCAATGTCACAAAACAAAATGTGTATGAACTCCTGAAAGGAAAAAAAATTTGCTCTGTAACCTTTTACCCAAATCATAATTTTAAAAATAAAATAAAATAAAGGGCAAAAATAAATCAATAAAACTTTGGAGGGACACTGGAGAATAAATAAGATCAAGTGTTCAGCTTTTTACATGTTGACTGTGAAGAGTGTTATCCCAAGGGGAGATATCAAATAAGTAGCTGGATACATGTATCTGAAGCTCAGCAGAGGTATGGGCAAGAGATGTAAGTTTACTTTGAGATAAATTTATCTTCAGTAACATCAACAAGTAATAGCCTTGTTGAGGGCAAACCAGAAAAGGAAGCAGAAAAGAAATAGCTGGAGAAGCAAAAGAAAAACCAAAGTGCTATGTCTTAGAAGCCAAGGAAGAGAGAAATTCAAGAAAAGCAAAAAAAAGTCAGTAGTATAGAATACTACTAAGAAGCCAAGGAAGATGAGGCCTAAAAAATGTCCTTTGGACTTAGCAACACAGAGGTTTCAACGATTTTACTGAAAGTTATTTCAGCAAAGTGATGAGACTGGTTGAATAGGCTGAAGAGTAAGCGGGAGATTAGGAAATGAAAAGGATAGTAGAGACAATTCTACTAAGAAGTGAAAGAGATACAAAATGGTACTTGCAGAGGAATGAGACTGAGTGACATGTTTTTTGTTTAAGATGGGAAAGATCTGAGCATGATAGACACCCTATGAAAAAGACACACTTGAGAGGGAGAGGTTGCCTATATAAGAGAGAAATGGGAGAAAAGATAAAGTTAAATTTCTGACAAGAAGGACCTGATAAGGTGGAAAGAGGAACTAGCCTCAGATAGAAGGAGAGACATCTCTTTTATTAAGAAAGAAGGAATGAGGACAAAAATGTACACAAAAACAGACAGATTTATATGACTGGCAATGGGAAGATGAAGATTCCCATATGATGCCCTCTATATTTCTCTATAAAGGAGGAGAAGTCTCAGCTAAGGGTGGAGTCATTGACAGGAGTCAAGAAAGTTTGAAAATATCATTGTAAAGAATGTGACAAAAAACTGGCCACAGAAACAGAGTGAAATTGCTAGTTTTGAAGGCTCATTTGAGGTATGTGAAAACAAAATTATAGTGAAACCAACCAATCTGACTTGGTGCATTACTACTGATCACCACTTGTAGAGGGAGATTTATGAAATGGTAATATTCTTCAGCATGGTTCCATTCCTCCTTACTGACCAGTGGGATCTAGAACAGGTCCCTCCTACCCTCATCATTCTTACTTCCTTAACTGATTCATATATGGAATGAGAGAAGAGGTGATATCCATTTATCTTACAATAAGCAGGGCTCAGGGAGCTCTGGTGGCACTGTAGTTAATGCATCGGGGTGCTAACCACAAGGTCGGCAGTTCAAACTCATCAGCTGCTCCACAGGAGAAAGATGAGGCAGTCTGCTTCCATAAAGATTTATAGCCTTGGAAACCCTATGGGGCAGTTCTACTCTGTCCTACAGGGTTGCTATGAGTTGGAACCAACTTGATGGCAATGGCAGCAGGGTTAAGCAGGTATCATGATTGCCGACATCAAAGAAGGTATTAAAAGTTTTCTAAAAATTCTGGGCCAGTACTTAAGGCCAAACTAACTGCTTATAAGAACAATTTATCTTTACAGAAATTATTTGTAGTAAGTAACTAGAGTTGTTACACTAGATCCCATTTTTAAGCAGAAATATATAGCAACAAGGAGTAAATGGAAAATCTTTACCTTGATGTGTGTGGATTATTACTTTCTCAAGTCAGTAGCAAAACATTCTTTTGTTTGAAAATCAACGATATAGAATTACAGTTTTTCAGGTCAAAGCACACAATTATTTCTTGATTATGAGAACTCACTTATGTGATGCTTCCCAGGCTTCTTCTTCTTCTAGGAGATCTCTTATGATGTCTGAACTAGAACTAAAAGGATATGTACATCAATATTGCCAGACAATAAAGATTGGATGGCTCCATTTATATATAATTCTAGAAAATGCAAGCCAGTCTATACTAACAGAAAACAGCCCAGCAGACCAGTGGTTACCTGCAGTTGGAGGGGGGAGTAGTTTGGGCAAAGAGGGATTACAAAGTGATGCAGAAAACTTAGGGTAATGAATACGGTCATTATCTTGATTGTGGGGAAGGTTTCATAGCTATATGTATATACCAAATTGTGCACTTAAATATAAGCAGTTTATTATGCATTAATTAAACTTCAATAAAGATGTACAAATTTAATAAATCTGCAATAATAATAATGTCACTAGAGCTTAATAAACCCCTCAGTATAAAACCTGGATTCAAATAGAATACAGGCATGAGTCTTTTCATGAATAAGACTTGATTCCTATGGCAATTGAAGATCAAACTGTTTTAAAAACGGCATTCGAGTAATAAGATTCACAAGTAATACCAACATCCTATGTGGCTTTTAGCTCTTTTTAACTAAAGTAAGGTGAAATTTAATTAATTATTATGGAATTTGTTATAATGCAACCTGGCTTAAAATGTGTACCTTTGGCCTATCTGGCAGGCGTGCAGGGTAAAAGAACATTATAGAGGACATCCTTCATTTCTTTAAGACAAAAACTTTTTAGGGCTTTTGGTGACTTTTTCTTAACCAAATTAATTCCTACCAATTCCACCAATAAGTATTTTTGTCTCTTTCTTTTGTTTTAAAGATATGTACATCAATATCAAAAAGCCTTTGTTTAGACATCTAAGAAGTAGAATGTCACCAAACAAACAAAACAAATCCACTGCCATCAAGTCAATTTTGACTCGCAGGAACCTGTATAATAGCAGTCACTACCCCAGGGCTGAGAAGGATAAAACAAAGAAATGAACTCCCATTCTCAGGTGAGAAATGACAGGTTTGGAAATGTTAGTGCCAACCATATTTCTACTGATACTCAAACAATGAACAAAAATTTTTAAATTATGAAGATTTAAAGTGCTAACCAAATTCACTGCCATTGAGTCATTTTCTGACTCACAGCAACCCCTCCTTGGGTTTCCGAGGCAGTACTTCTATGGAAGTAGATTGCCCAGTCTTCCTTCTGAGGAATGGTTGGTGGGTTTGAACCACCAGCCTTCTGGTTAGCAGTCACATGCCTTTGACACTATGCCACCAGAGCTCCCAAATTGAGTAATGCTCCTCATTTATCTTTTATTCACTACAGCAGCACATGTATGCATTTTTCAAATAGTACATGGATTTCTGAGCCATTCTTTGTCTGTAGGTAAGTTGTGATGGGCATGTGCTTTCATAGCCCCACTACAGTAATTCCTTCAGTCCTCTGGTTTAGGAACCACTGATCCAAGCAAGTCAAGGTCCCTAAGCATCTACCATTCCTTTACACTGCTGGTGAGACCACTGTCAAGAGGGGGCCTCCTGAGAACAATAATACATTAATTTAGCATCAGTCATTTTCATCTCAGAGTGAACTGGCTTATAACAGTCTTTCCCATTAAACTGCTGCTAAAAGTAATCTTTACTAGTAGGGAAGGAGAGAAAAGCATCCAAGACAGATTTTACCAACTTTATATTATTTTTAATTTACTTATTATTATTCTCCTAAGAGATAGGGAGCTCTAGTAGCATAGTGGCTACGGCACGTGACTGCTAACCAGAAGGCTGGCGGTTCAA